AGAAATTGAATTTTAATCACCCTTGGCGGTGAAAGGTTTAAAACAATACTCTCGTGTAACAAAACGCCTTGTCTCTTCGCTTAAAGGAAGATATCCATATGGCAATAAAACCAAATCGTTTATTTTAAGATGAAATGATAGCGCTATCGATTCTAATGGAGAAACTAATGTAGCTTTGTTTGTTTGTATGCAATAACTGTTTATTTTTCTTCAACAGCTGTGCAGATGAATATTACCGAAGCTTTTTGCTAAAATAATTGGGGAATTTCTCTTTGATAGGAGTTTCTTCTGACGAAGACCTCAGGGGTCCTTTTCTTTTGGTTTTTCCTTAGTTCAGCAGAAACCCGTCGTCGAGGGATGAGTTTACGTTTGTCACCAAAACAATGTCATTACGATTTTCAAGAAACGTGAAATGAAAAAGGTTGTAGCGGGATTAAAGATTAATTTTGTTTTGGTAGACAGATAATGGTAAGGTTTTCTGGTTGGGTTGTGCAGGGGAAAAAGCGGTTGCAAAAACAATGTTAACAGTACGATTCAGAAGCGATGTATACGGAGAACGATCTGAACATTTCGTCACAACTGAATTCGTACGTACTACGCCCACAAAAAAATAGCAAGAAAAAGAGCAAATACAAAATTATTGAATATTCCAGGTAAATCCAATTGTGGCAAGAAGAGAATTTAATTCAAATTGCGAACTCTTTCGATCACTCAAGAGAGCATTATGAAAGAACACGGTGATATTTCCCGAAAGGAGGGCGTTCCATACTCGATTTTATCTCTGCAAGTAAAGTTCACACTTGGCTTACAACGCATCCAGTGCGTGTAAAAAACTTCATTACATGCAACGCTCAAAGAAACGAATTCAAAGTTATGAACCAGTAAAACGATTCAGTTCTTCTCAAAACAGGCTTTCGCAAGATTGCTAAACGTAGCAGCTTAAATTGATTTTTTTTTTTTATCAAAAGCGATGGACAATCCCAAAATTTTTAACCCAACGAAGTATTTCGTAAAGAGAGACATAAGTATGAGACTGACCGAGAAATGAACAAGATCACTTACATTAACTCCGTTTTCTCTTCCACTGGAAATTTTACAGGAGTTGCGTTTGAATCCCGGTTCAAAGGGAACGCCTTTTATACTGACTGTTAGGCCATGGTTAGGCTAATAATAGATTTAACGTTGAAACCCATGGGAAAAAATGGAGCCGTTTATTTGAAATATTCAACTGATTAGGAGCAAAACAAAACACACTATAGCCATTAATCAAAGAGATCTTTTTGAGAAAGCGACGATGAACTGTAAACTACTTTTCAAGATAGTTTGACAGAAACGTGAACGTCAATTTATGACACCCTTTCCCAACTGAAAGAGGATGTAGCTGTTATGGTTTTGTTTACTCAAATAAAGCTGTACTTCCTCTTTTATTTAAGAGTTTGACAGTTAAAGCTGTATGCAGATCGGTGCGTTGCAGGAATAATAACTTGGTCTTGATGCTCACCTTTGCGTAAGTTATTTCGAGATATACTTGTAAAAATGGTGGATTCCATCCAGGGTCCGCTACTTAGTTTTATAAACAGTTCTGCAAGCGTTTTTCCTTAAAATGAGCACATGACGGCGAGTACCAACATTGCCAAATATGGAAAATATTTAAGTAAACGACTTTGATAGATAACTGAGGATTTGTTAAGAACTTACGGTTTAGCAAAATGTTGATAAAATAAAAGAAATGTCTCCCCTTTGTTGCTCTCAACAACCGTCCTAGGTCGTTTGTTTGACAATTTTATTTGTGTCATGCGATACTGTTTTTTCAAGTTACTCACGAAATAATTAACAGCATTAGTTAGAAAAACAGTTCCACTGATCACAAACCAACTTTAAATTAATTGATTCGACCTCCCGGATGAGAGAAAAGTATTCATTAAATGATCGGTAGATTCCTCCAGAAACAAGACCCTAACATTTCTGAACAAATAAAAAGCACTAATTTCCCAGCTTGGCTAAGTGGGTTAACCCATTCACAAGCGGAAGGCTTGCGAAATCTATCCGAAATTAAGTCCAGGACAGAAAGGAAGAAGTCAACGAGCCATTTGTGTTTGATACACTCTTTTTTTTTTTTTCAACAAGAATGTCTAATACTGGGGCCGAGGCCGAACGTTCTGTTTTGCGATTTGAGCCTGAAAACGTTCTTCATGTGTTTTTAAAGTTGTGTGGTGAAGTATTTCAGTAAATCAACTCGGACGTGACCAGTGTATCTGGGCAATACGAAAACCGCATTGTTAACGTTAAAAAATGTCCCTAAGCTAAAAAGTATTTGAATTAATTTTCTTATAAAAAAAAAACAACAGAAAGACAAGAGTGGGAGTCACTTTTTCCGCTTTTATTTTGAAATGTTTCCAATTTGACCAAGATGTAATCTCTAAGGTAAGAAATTTTTTCTTCGGAGGAAGCACGGCTAGTCAAGTTATGCGTCTGAAGAAACGCTAGAAAACTATTTGTTTTAAAGATATTCAGCATCTTTACAAGCACAAACGGTATTTCGCAGATGGACAACTGACAAATTTAAAGTTCGCTGCGTCATATCAAAAATAAGCTCCACCTCTGGGACATTCTTGAATCTTTGTCGCTATCAAATTGCAACTCTTTACACTGGAAGCTTTCTGCGAAAAGAAGTTGCTTAGAAGGAATTTGGTGCTATCTCGTTGAAATCCATCTCCATAATTTTTTTTCAGTGAATTACCGACAATATTATCGATGTACGTGTTTCGAGACGAATGAATTTTGTGTGAAGACTTCGAACCTCATTTCAGGCATTGTAATATTCACAAATGAGAGCAAAGTCGTTTCAGGTGTCGAAGAAATTACGCTTGAAAAATGCAGACCACCCGCATGAGCGGAAAAACTTTCCGGCTAGGAAAGTTCCCAATGCAAGTTATGGATCTCGCTGGTACCACAACTATTTTAGTTAGGCCGAGCGAGGGGTTGGCTGGGGAGGGGAGGCTGGGGTTGGGGGTCTTGGAAAGGTTACACTGCGCCTTCTCCACATCCAGACCAAAACAGACCATTTTCTACACCCGTTTTCAGAGCTTATATCCAAAGTACTCACCCCTTTGAAAAATACTTGTGAATTTGTAGACTCTCGTGATTCCCTGTTCAGACCGAAACTTAAGACCAAAAGCAACTTTATAACCATAGCAGTTGGAATGGTGGTACATACCCGATGACATACCTTAGACAGGTGACTACCCAACCCTCCCTCCCTCCCCTTCTCCTATGGTCCGATCCTTTTCCACAAAGTTATTCGTGCTCACGAAAAGGTCTGTAAGCGGAAGCTCCAATAAATTATCTTCGTTATCAGTGGCTTCATTTCATACTCCCTCAATTACAAGCAGAAATTCTCTGATCGGTCATTTTACTCAGTTTTTAACAAAATCTAGAAGGACATTGTTTTCGTGTAGCGTTATGTTTGTACAGAAGGCTTCTCCATTTTAGGCAATTTGCAATCGGTTCATTTGTCTGAGTTTCTCATTTCATAATGCGTCAATTGTCGCAAGTATTCTGCACGCAGACTTTGATAATTCAATAGCTCGTGAGCAGGCCCCTCACGTTTCTTTCTCTGCGAGTAAGTTGGAGGCGAGCTGGGAAGAGGTCTGGCAAAGTAACGTCTCATCAGTCAGTGTCAAATCCCTTAAAGTCCTCTTGCGCAAGGCCTTAAACTTCCTCGCGAGCAACGAGGCTAGAGGTGCAAGTTGACGTTTAGAATGGCTAACGCACGAAACGTCAGTTTTAGAAACTCTCCACGGTAACCAGTTTACATTATCCATTCAGTTAATGAAACCAAATTAGCTTGTTATACCCCCACTGATGCAACATTTAGAAAATTACCCCAAAGGTTTATAGCCTATAGTTTTCAGGGTTTCCAGTCAACTTTACCAGTTCGCGTCCCGAAGAATGCGTTCATCGGAACAGAGAGCCTTTTACAAGTTATAAACTGCCGATACACGGGAATAAAGCTCCGAGAAACATTTGAGGTACTACCAACTACTGTATGTTTACCCTTAACTATAAGAATTGGATTTGCCCAATTTGTGAGAGTAACTTAATTTCGTGTTGAAGCGTTGGTCACCTTCAATTGTTTGGTAGGGACGTCACTGGAAAAAAATTATCCTATCAAATGTCTTGACTTACCTGTTTCCGATCCTGGGAAATTGTTCCTTATATCCAAAGTGAAGCAATGCATACCACTGTTATTAGTGTGAAAAAAAAAGGAGACCGAACTTGAAATTGCGTCTCATGTTTCACGATCGGGGTTAACATTAAGAGGTCTCATGTTATATTTAAAAAAAAGAAATGACGAACAAGAAATGTTGAAATCAATGCGAAGCAAAACTGACTTACTCTGATGCGAATTAAAATCCAATTTGTTTGGTATTTAAAATGCCCAGTGGTCATTTTCCAGACAAAGGAACTGTACTTGTTAAGGTTGCATCTCTGGGCTGAATAAATGGTACAGGATATTGAGCTGCAAAATTGTGCAATATGTCCTTCAACAGAAGGAAAGGATAAATGACTTGTTCCATTTATTTGCAAGAACGAGTGAAGTCTCTTGGGAGCTGTTGATAATCCTGTCACACAACGTCTCTCTGCGTGACAATAGGTGTTGCATGACGTGTTCTCTTAGGATGATTTTGAAAAAAACCGATCCTGAGAATTTTAAGCTTTTAGTGATCGACAAATATTACGCAAAGATGCGAGAATGTTGAACAGATAATATGCAGTTTTCAAACAGTGCGTGTCAAAAGTCTTGGCATTCTCACCTTTTATTGTAATAATCTTTGTTATTATCACAGTACTTGTTTCTTACATTCGGTAAGGGTAAGGGTAAGGAAATTTTCATTTAAAAGAGGGCCCGTCAACTACTTTGCAACTCAGTGTCAATAAGTACTTCGATATCACTTTCCTCCCTCCTTTCCAAAGTTTGCACTTGTGTGCTGTTCCATGCGAGCTCAGACGCGACGGAACAGTAGAAATTTAAGTTAATAATTTGGATATATCAACAAAGTTTAAATGGTAAATTGGCCACCGTAATGATTACAAAAGCTGACGTTTCGAGCGTTAGCCCTTCGTCGGAGCGAATAGAGGAAAACGTTTTTCTCGTTGCCATGCACCCACCAATAACGTAGCTCCATTTTCTGCCTTTAAAAGCACACACAACCCACAATTCCTCTATTCGCTCCGACGAAGGGCTAACGCTCGAAACGTCAGCTTTTGTAATCATTACGGTGGCCAATTTACCATTTAAACTTTGTTGATATATCCAAATTATTAACTTAAATTTCTACTGTTCCGTCGCGTCTGAGCNAAGACGAGGCAAGTTTCGAGCGCCGAAGGCGCGAGCCGCTAGAGGGGTCTGGGGGCGTGCCCCCCAGAAAACTTTGAAACCTAGAGGTTTATAAATGCTCTTTTAAGGATTTTCCGTGGCATTTTTCTTCAGAAAAGTCAATTTTTAAGAAAAAATTAAAAAAGGCCAAAATTAAGACGAGGCAATTGCCTCGTCTTGCCTCTTGCTAGCTACGGCCCTGTTTACAAGGTGAACTCATGACCTCGGTCCAAGTTCTTACCTCAGTTTTCAAATTTTCAAGATCTTTTAAGGAAAATGAGTAAAACTTAACGTTGCTGTAGTTTGATCGTATAAACGATTATAAAGGAACTCGCAATGTACTTCGCATGTTTTTCATTACTTAGACAAATAAATTTAATTGATCCTATCTAAGAATTTTTCGGGTCAGCGTCACAAAAAGGCTGTTTTTCTAAATTTTTGCCGGACTAGTGAGATGGTTTGTCTCCAGTTGGTTGTAGTTTTAGAGCTTCCATCTGGCATTTTGACTGCAAACTAAAGAATCTGATATCAGAAAGGTAATTTGAAAGTTTGCTAAATGTGTCGTGCAGCTGTTCGAGTTTGAATTCATTGCCCTTGCCAGGAAAATTGTTTGAACAACCACTGCTGTAATTAAAATGATATCCGATAGTTTATTTCTCTACCGATCAAAAGGAACGTCATCGAAAGAAACGTTCCAAAATAAAAAAAAACATTCTCACAAATACAAACATCCGAAAAAAACCAATTTTCAAGGTCTTGTCGATGAAGGACCTTCCATGATACAATCTTGTCGTAGGTGACTGAAATATTTTTCAAAAATAAATATCGGAAAAATTTCTCGTGAAGAGGTGACCTGTATTTAATAAAACTCTCATAGTGATATGATTTTTGTAACACTTTTTGTTTTACAGTCTAAAGCAAGAAATATCATAAGGGGTACAACATACGCAACAGCGCAATAAAAAACGTTCATCTTATTGTCAGACTCAAATACATATTTTGTTTGCTCTAGATACCTGCTTTTATTCTATTTATTATTTGTCACAGAAGACAAACACTAAAATTCACCCCTCTGAAAGACTTTAATTATTTGTTACCGTAGCGTTTGAAAGACCCGAATCGTATCGATTTTTACGCCAATCACTCGAACAAAGCCTTCTAGGGATTTTGTCAGAATCAACCAATTTTCGCCCAGGAGTCACTTTCGCCTGGTGATTTACGACACGCTCCAATTTAGACTAACTGCAAAAGGCTGTAGACATTATTCATAAGGCCCAGGTTGCAATTTTTACATTGTTTGATCGGACTTGTTAGAGCTGCGCGCGGCCATATAAAAACTGGTTTGACTTTTCAGCCAATCCTATAAAGGAAGACATCCCATTTGCAGTGACGAGTTGGTAGTCAGTTGGTACAAAGCTTTGGTCACCCGAGAACTGACGAAAATGACGGTGGATCCGGCGAACGAAACTCTACCAGCGAACTGCATCAACTACGGTCGCTTCACACCAAGAAACCTTGGAATGACCTTTGCTTACGGCCTGCTTCTTGTCACTTCTTTGAGTGGAAATTTCTTAATAGTAATAGTTGTCTACAAGATGAAAACCATGCGGACAACAATTAACTTCTTCATTGTCAACATGGCAATGTCAGATCTGTTGTTTCCAGTTTTTGTATTTCCATTGCTTCTCACAGAGATGTACGTCGGCGGCTTCGGTCCACCAGGAAAAAACATCTGCTTGGTGCTCTTTTTATTACAGTATGTCTCCAGTTGGGTTTCCATTCAAAGCCTTATTTTGATCGCTGTGGATCGATTTTTGGCTGTGGTTTTTCCACTGCACTCCCCGATCATCACTTCAAAAGTGCGTCCATTTGTCATCCTGACAACTTGGATAGTTGCAACTGCTTCTTCATTTCCAATGTTAGTCTTTTACAACTCCATGGAGTTCAGCGAGAAGCTGAACTGCGGGCGCATATGGTTTACAAAGTATTTTCGAGAAAAATATTACATTCACGTTATGCCTTTGAATGTAGTCTTCAAGACAATTCCTTTTATCTTACTTGCTACTCTTTACTCTGTCATTCTTTTCAAGCTGAAAATACAGACAATTCCAGGTGAACGATCGATAAATGCTGAAGAACAACGTGTTCAAAGAAACAGAAAAGTTCTCAAGATGGCCACGGCTATCTTACTGGGATTTGCCATGTGCTGGATGCCTTTGAGTATCATAGGCTTTTTAGGCCTCTCTCTCGGAGACAGTGAAGGTTGTGGCCGAATTCCGCCATTTGTGATTGTCGCTGTTTTTCTGAATTACGCCAATTGTGCTGTTAATCCTTGCATATGTTTTACGTTTTGTAGAAATTTCCGTCAAGCCCTGAAGGGCCTCCTTTATCAAAATGCGCCAGGGCCGTAAATTGCATCATAATCGTAAACTTGTTTACGTTAATGCTACATCAGGTGCCAACGGGCAAGCCAATGAACCTGTGTTTGCTGCTCTCTTCTTTTCGTTTCATTCACTGGGAATTCCTTGAGAGGCAATTTGCATCATAGAGGGAAACTTAAGGGTGCACTTGTTGACACCCATTTTTATTATTGACCAACCGAATGAGTAGAACTTGAAAATCTTAGACACTTGTTTCCTTACTGGTGTAAATTCCCCCGGGCACAATCATGTTTGTAAGAAGAAGAGTAAACTCGTCAACCTCGCAATTTGGATAGTGACAACTGTCTTGTCATTAACACTTTACTTTACCACCTTCATCGCTGCAGACCCCAGCGAAACACAGGGAATCGATTGCCTGCAGATTTGGTATCAAAATTTCTACACAAAACAATATCATTCTTGGGCAAGGAAAGGCAAATCATTTTCGACATAATGCCTTTCTCCACGCAGGCCATACTTTACTCTGTAATACTTTTGAAACTCAAACTCCAAAGCTCCCTGGAGAACGATCGATGGATAATGAAGATCAACGCGTAAATAAGCAGAAAAAAGTTTTGAAGTTATCTACGCGGTTTGCTGGTTGCCCTTCAATATTCTAGGCTTTTTAGGTCAATATCTTGGCGATTGTGTAGTTCCAGTCCTCACTCGCACAGCCGTCTTTCTGACTTTCAGTTTAGAAATTGTGCCGTAAATCCTTGTGTCTGTTTCACATTCAGTGAAAATTTTCGTCAAGGTCTAAAAAAAATCCTTAAACGGGGACAGGCTGGAACATAGCCGCCATAATGTTTCAGCGTGGATAATTTTGCCCCAAGCAGAAAACAGCACGTGTAAATAAATATCTGTTACCTGCAAAGTGCGAGAGGCATCCTTTGACATTTCATGGAGCAAGACGACATCGTGGTCCATAAAAAAAAGAAAAAAAAAGCAGAAAAAAACAACTAAATAACGTGTCTAATATTTAACAATTTTGACTGAACAAGTTAAGTCCGTACAAAATTTGTAAATTGCATGAGGAACACACAGAAAAATTGCAAAATAAAACAGATCACATAACTTGTCGGTGTGTCCACTGTTTTTATTGTTTCAGAACGTGTACGTAGCTTTCTGGAAGCCAAAAGGGCCGGATAACCTTTGTTTGTTTGCAACATTAAGAAGATTCCCACAAAATACGAATTTAAACTAACTAATCTCACTTTTTTAATTTCAATTTGCGATTTTATAATATGCAGTCACTGAGAAGCGCCAGTCAAAACATAGCATTCCCTTTATGTTACCCGCAGACTGTATTATCCAGAGGATAAACGCAACTGGAGGTGAGGATTTTTCACAAAGTAATCTAATTACTTGAACTCATGGGATAAATCAAAGCTCTTTGATGTTAATTTTTATGAAAAAAACCAACTCAAGTACGAAACAAATTAGAAATAGATGTCTTTTCAATAGTAACTAATATATTTTTTTTCCTTCCTTATTCATTCTATTGTCATGTTAATTGTTGCAGGTCTGTTTGCACAATAATTCATACCTTTATTATTACAGTTTCATGTGGTGATCACCATAATTTTATTTTTCAACTCTAAGGAGCACTTAGATCAGAAGCAGTTTGCTTATCAAACGTCATGTGAAACAATAGCAACGAATTCGGTATGGTGCCGAGCAAGTGATGAGAAAATTTTGGAATATATAGCCCCAAAATTAATTACATTCTGCTGTTTCCTGACGGAAAGGAATCGTGACAACCAATTACGACAGTTACATAAACACTAAGGAGAGGTTTTAACTTTATTTTGGGTGCAAATGACAGCCTTCCGAAATTTGTTATTGGGACTTTAGTCAGCTCGTATAATGTGTTTGTTGTTGTTGTTGTTGTTGATGTTGTTGTTTTAGAGCAATGTTCGTCGTCAATGGCAGACACTACTTAAAAATGATGATTTGTCAGATAGCCCAAATTATCTGAGATACAGCACAGGTTTAATGCAATCAGGTGACTCATTTTCTGAGAAAATAATAGCCTCCAGTAAGCAACCTTCCATCCCCTCTCTACAACCACCTGCAACCACATGAATCAAATTCGACTTAACCTGGCAGATACCCCCGCTGTTCTAAAGAAACAAATAAATTGAGCCAAGGTCAGTCATCATGAGGTAAAAGTAGAAACCAAAGCTGGCCTTAGCAACTCACGCAGAATGTCCAATGAAATCTTCAACGAGACTATGAATGGACTGAACTCTATCATCAAACTGCACCAACCCACGAGACCACACAGCAGAAAAAAAAAAGGGCAGGATTTAGCTTTCTGTCCGATTCGCTGACTGGGAATGTCTTAATCGGAATAATTGTCTTCAAGACGAAGTGCGTTTCCGTCACATCTAACAGATATGCTCGCCGATGGCTTTGGCCAACGAGGACAGAACATCTACATTGTCCTTCTTCTATTACAGTACGTCTCCACTTTTGTTTCCGTCGAAAGCCTTGTTTTGATAGTTGTTGATCGATTTGTTGTTGTGGTTTTTCCTCTCCGTTTGTTCTTACAAAATAAAGCTGGGAAGATTTATCTATATTTTAGGGCGTTTTTGATATAACATTGGTTCTACTCGATTGTTGGATTTGAGAGGATTATAACCAACTCGGCCCTCGGACCTCTTTGGCTACTATCATCTCTTATAATTCAGCTGTGCTTCGTAGAGTACAAATAACGCCCGAAACGGGTATAAATATCTCACGGTATTTTTGCTCCAGAGAACCAGTTAGACAGGTTTTCTCGCATCGCGCAAGCGATGAACTGGATTGAACTTAGGAAAAAAATGGCGGACAATTCTATCACGCACTCCCCGTAAATTAATATCCGCGAAATTCGCCCGTACTGAAATAACGATTTGGTGCGATGGATAATAAATCTCTTATTAGAAATTTTGTTGTGTAGTATCGCTGAGTATTTTTACTCGTTGTTTGTATTTTGATTCGCCCTATAGGCTCGTCAAAATACGGCACAACTTGTAAAATACTCAGCGATACTGTACAGCAAAACATCTAATAAGATATATATATATGTATGCAACGCTCGCTCGTGGAATCATTGTTATTTATCCTACATTTTTGGCGAATGACTGTAAGATTCACTTTCTTGTTGAGGCTGTGGTTGTGTTTATTGCTTTGTGATTCTCACTGCACCACAGTCACACAGGATTATGATTGTGACTTTTCAGTGACTAACTGACATTGGTGTCCTCTTTTTGCTATATCAGTGAATATGTGTAGCCCAAAACAATTAATAAAACGTACGGGGGTTTCGACGTTCGCTAAAAGAGGCTCCCTTTTTCACAATTAGCCAACTGCCCTTATAAAGATATCGAACTTCAATATATCGAATAAGGTATTCTAAAAACAAAAAAAAAACAGAAGAATGACTTCTTTCAAACGAAGTCTTCATACTCAACTTTCAAATTGTTTTGGTATTTTTCTACCAAAGATGACCGTCATTCACGGTGTTCAAAATCGGACGGCAGTGTCCAAAATCGGACTGCAGTGTCCAAAATTGGTAAGTAATACCTAACTTCAGATCCTCGTTTCTAAACTCAGACAGTAGTGTCTGAAATCGGCCATCTTTATCCATAGAACGGTAATATCTAAAAACGGATACTAGTGTCCGAGATCGGAATCTACTAGCTCCTAAAATAGGACACTAGTGTCCAAAATGATCTTCATGGATCCACTTGATGTGATCAAGAAAGTCAAATCTGCTTCTTTCCCGACTAACGAGTTCATATTTCATATCCATATTTATGTCAAATTACTTTAAGCAAATTTTAGGACAGATTGTTAACACAAAAACATAATCCATTTTCAGGAAATTTCCATTGATAATATCAAAGATCCTAAACATTCCTAGTTTCTATTCTAAACACGTTTTCCATGTTTTACCGTAACAATTTCTATTTTGTAGTGTGGAAAATGTCATGACTCGATTACTCTTCAGCATAAAAGAAACTGATTGATATTTACACGATTAGCGGATTTTTAACAATTTATGACAACCTCAAGTTGTGGCTGTACCGATGCCTTGATAACAATTTTTTTTTCCCTCTGCTTTTTAAATTAGTGATAAGCGGATTTAGGGAAGACAAATTGACGTCCGACTAGGGTCCAAGTTTTCGTCTGAAAATGAAGTTGGTTACGTTGGTTAATTTTAGTTCCACAATCAGTCAGAGAAATGACAAATTACGTCGATCTAACTACATTTTTTCTCTTTCTACACTTAGCTAAAACTAAGTTTCTATTTTTTTTTAAACACAACTAATTTTTTGAAAACTTGAAAAATCCACTTTATTCCAGCCAGCTTAATTTGTGATGTACCGTTTTCTGTTTGAAATTGTTTTTACCCCGAGGCTTTGAAACTATCGAAGGAAAGTGCAAATTGCTATAATCTGTAATCTTGACGCTGTTCTCAAAAAGCAGAAATTTTTTTTCCAAATCTATTGAAGAGCGTATCTTTACATTGTCACCTCAAACACGCAATTATTGGACAATGGCGATCGTGTTGTCAACATTTTCTTGCATATTTCCCTCTCTTATCGCTCAATTGACGTTCGCTCCAAAGAAGGGCTAGCGCTCGAAACGTCAGCTTTGGCAATTCTTTACGGTGGCCGACTTATATTATAAAATCAAATTATCTTGGCCTTCGAATGGCTTCGTTGGTAGCTCATTTATCCTTTTTTTTTTTTCTGTTTTGAACCATTTTTTGTAGACTTTTTTTACTTTATTGAAAACTGTAGTGGAAAATAAATCATGCGCGTTTACTTGGCAAATATATGTAATATTAGTAAACATCATTACGCAAATCGCATTTCTTGTACCTTATCAGACCAATTTCGTAGCTTTACTCAGCAAATACCCGACTCGCAAATCCTGCCGCTAGTACATGATTTCTCAAGAGGGAACAGACAGATTTTCTTAAAGTTCGATTTTAGCTGCGATAATTTTCGAAGGAAGACATTTTTTTTTTCATATTTCTTTTTTGAATCATTTTATCGCGGTATTTTTTTGCGTATGTTCTATTACATCGACCTGATGTTTTAATGTAAGTATGGCCAATGGTTACATTAATGGAAAATGTGCCATGAATTTCAATTCAGTTTGCATCGCTTGCATGTTTTTGTGCGTCTATGATTTATCCTTAGCCTAAACTTTTCGTCATTTTGGCGAGCTTACAAATTGTAAAAATACTCCCTAATAATAATTTCTCGAAAATATCATAATAACTGAAGGGAATGTATCTAGAAGTGGTTCTCTGTCAGTCAGTTTGGCTCGATTTGATTTTTTATCGCGAAAACACTGAACAGTTATTTTGTCAAGAGAAGCTTGAATATTTAAGTATGCCTGTCGAAAAAAATAAAATCTTAGAACGCTAGTGGCCAATTAAAATACTCGCTTTTCAAGTTATGCTTTTTAAACCTCTCCATCTGTAGAATTCTTTACGGTAGCAAAATATTGTTACCTAGATTACAAAAATGCAAAAACTGATTTTATGATCGACTAAAAATATTAAAGATTCATTTGAAAACAGAAATAGCTATTTAGAACCCAGCTTGAATCCTTGATTTTATCATTTTACCGATTGCTGAAGGTGAAATCATATTGTTTGGCACGTTATTAAAATTTTTAGACTCAGACGGCGCTCTTAGATTAAAATTCATTTTCACTACAAGACATCGATTTTGCGTGACCCAGACGAACACTATTGTTAATTAGTAAAACCCTATATGAATCATTATAGCCTTTTAAGTGTCCATGAAAGCTTATCCCTGGTTGATCTATGATGGAAAAGCCACAATTTCGGTTTTTAAGAATCTATTTAATCGTCAAGGGAGCCGTGATATGTAAATTATCGCGCCTCACGCGGCTTTTTATAAATAGATATTATTTACCAGAACTTCAGGAATAAGTGGATTTGATTTGAGGACTTACACGACATTCAGGCTGTCCCCGGCCAAGTGGCTTGATGACAGAATACTTTGATGTTGGTGAATGATCATAAGAAAAAAATTATAAATCTTATGCCTTCGGCGAACTGATTTCATTGTTATCAGTTCTCATTTAGAAAGATGGATTACAGTCCAAGAAGAGCTCTATGTCCGGGTCAAACTCAGCTATTTCCATGTATCGGGTAAGAAATTAAATTTAGTTGCTATCTTAGCCTCTAATTTTCTTTCTCTTTTGTTAGGGTTTTCACTGGAATAGAACTTAGTTCGAAATACTGTATCAATTTTAAAATTTCTACATCTAAAGGCTGGAGGACAAGAACTCTTCCCGCGTAACCAGTCTCGCATCTTGGCCAGTTAACATTTTTAAAAGAATTATATTGCCTTAAATTGTAATAGGTCACACCTTGAAACATCTGCTGAAAACAACGAAAATATCTGGCGAAATGAATCTCAGCCAAGATTGTAATTTTTCTGTTATATTCATCAAAACGTTACAGTGTTTCTCCGGTCACTAAGGTAAAAAGCAAACTGCAACTAACCTAGAATTTTTAAAACGATACCAACCAGATTCATGTGTTTGTGGTGATTAATAGTAACATGATTACAAATCATATGAGTAATCGAATCATTTCGTCACAATTAGTTTTATTTAAGCCTATTTCTCAACGGAAGTTGCCAACTAATTTATTGTTGTGTCTTGCCATACTGTAACAAGGTTGAAGGTTGCTTTTACATTCAACACCAAAATTTTCATTATCAGCTCGTCAATACAGGTAGATGCGTTCGTGATTTGTGTGAGGACGAATAACAAAACAATTACATCGTAAGGGTTTTGTTGTTTAGTTCGAGGCGACTCCGCGACTCGACGTTTATCGATCTGTGATCATGACTCGATCTGTGACCTATTCAAAAATATTTCTGATCACAGGAATGAAGAGTTACAGTTGTCGAAAACCAAATTATGCCAAAACTGTTAAAAGGGTTTCCTTCTTGCATTCGCTGTTTATCATTCGTGTTTTATCTTCATCATATTTTTGTTTTTATTTTTATTTTCTACACTTCATTTATTTACTTATTAATTTATTTATCTTTTTATTCACGCGTTTCCTTATCTGTTTTTGAGGGGTAAATGATTGGCGAATGGAAAATAGAACTTGGTCTTCCTACATATTTTTTAGGCAGGATCGCCTTAACGTCTTTCTGAAAAATTTCAAAAACATTTCCGAAATTCCAAAATATTCTCTATTTTTCAAAAACTTTCCAACAACTGCATTAACTTACATAACACTGGCTGCATAAGATATAAAAGAGGACGGTCAAAGAACCAAAATAACATGAACGTAAAGTTTGAGGTTTTCACGCTTACAGGTTGATCTGTTGGAAAAGACCTTTTAGACCCAGGCAAACAGTTAATTTTTATTTAACACTGCCTGCATAGAAAACACTCTTGCATAGCTCGTTCAAAAAGCCAGGAATACCTCTGAATGTCCCTAAACCTGAAAGATGTCTTCATATTTTCTAAATATCTTTGTTAGAGTAAGCAAAGAACTATTCGAATTTTTGTAGAAAGGACTGAACAATAACGTCGCCTACTGAGTAGCTGCAGTGTCTCCGATTGGCTGGAAATTTCCCGCCCAAATCATGGCTAATTACAAATTCATAAGTTGTCACTAAGGGAGCGGTCAGTACTTGTCGCCTGGTGGGGTGGGGAGAAGCTGTAGGATTTAATCTTCTTGGCAGTCAATTTTCTATAGTTTCCCTTTTATACCTTTCGGGAAACGACTGACCTCCTCCGTTCCCTCTGAAAACCATGTGATTCCCCCCAAAGTCCTCCATCCCCCCCCTCCCCCCCTCAGGCAATTGATAACGACTGGTCCCTTAACACAGGAATGCGAATTTGCCAAATTTGCCAAACTTTAATACGTTTCTATAACTGGAGAGAGAATCTATCGACTAAAAGGAATTGATTTCTGGCTCTGTACATCCATGCATTCTCCTCTTTGAGAATTATATTGCTATCCGACCGTCTTATCTAAAAAGTAAAGTGATCAAATATTATTTTTCATTAATTTTCTATCAAGTTTCGGACGTAGTCTTGCTCTCCTTTGGCTTTTCTTTCCCTTCCCATATACCCGGGGTTCATGAAGTCAAGTCGAAACAAAAAGGAGGAGTTTGTCATCCCAGCCGGACTCTCTCCAGCTGACTCTCTCCGCTTGGGAGCATCTTCCTACGGACCAGGCGCTATAAAAATAAAATAAGATTAAAAAAAATAAATAAATAAGAACGAACTGGGACCGTGGAGTCTTTTCCAAAATCTTCTACGGACGGATAATAAAACTTCTTCCACTGATCAATGCCGAGTGAAGAATGGTAAACATTTAAGCCGTGGGCAAGATTTTAAAAATACTTCCGTCCTCTCATACGCTTACAAAGGTAGACGTCATTCAGTAAAGCTGAAGTCATTGTGATTCAAAAGTATTGACAAGAGGGGATCCTTCATAAGAGAAAAAAATTTATTTTGCAATCTTTGTCATTTAGCAATGTAAGAAACTCTCTAACCCCTTTACTAATTAAAATTAGGAATCAGAATTTTGTATCGTGTTCAGGCTAAGACAATCACCTGGGGCCAAAAGGTTTTTCATTACTTTTTGTTTTTCTCCTTCGCAAAATGGTCAATCTTAAAAAAAAATTACCGTTGAATTAATCAAACCGATATACTATTGATTAGCCTGAATTTTTTTTCAGTGTCAATCAACAGAAACTTGTTCTTAACTTTCAATACAAACTTGCTAACATCTGTAAGACACTGCAGTTTGGAGTTTGGAATTCAAATTAAGTTTGGGCTCTCAAAGTATTCAGCTCAAAATCATAAACTGAAACAAATACAACACAAGACAACCAAAACAAAATTAGAAAAGATGAGCGATGATGTCTTAGTTAATTGCAGCGGAAATATTGCGGTTAAAAAGACAGTTACTGCTTTAGGATAAAGGACTCAAAACAGAAAACTGGCACATGAAGGAAATTAAGTGATTTACTATTTTCGTCATAACATTCGTTTTATAGATTTTTTCCTCTTTTATCGACTTCCTTCGGAAGCTTTCTTTCACCTTTAGGTAGAAAAGACTGATCAATTTATGACCTTTTGATCCAAAAATGTTCGGCAAAAGAACCTTGACATGGAATTATTCATAACAGCTGCCTTTAGTGCTAAAAAAAGTCTATAAAAGCATCTCAATAAATCCACAATATACGTATTCATTTTGGCTGTTTCGTGCGCTCAACGGGATAGTTCACAGACAAATTATTCATAAAAACCATAAATGTTTTGCAAAAACAAGGGAAGTTTAAAATGTTTTTCTTTTTCAGTTCCAATATCTAATCTAAGAAAGCTTTATATTGTTGTAATCAATCGTTTAACCTATGCTAAGGAAAATATATTTTCAATTCTCAATAAAGAGCAATCGAGATCTTCGTGAAAATTGCCCAAGAATGGAACGGATGATTAGGTTACAAATCCTAAAATGTATGTTGCTAGCTACCACGTTTGCCTGATGTACTGGGAGTAAAATGTTATAAATTCTATACTGGCTGCCTTGTGAAAGGCATGAGGAATTGAATCACATTTTTGCGGTTTTACGGGTGGATATGGTTTTAATTTCTATTTAAGCTTCAAAAGTTAGATTCTTGATGAAACGTTACGTACATGTAAAATTAATATACTACCATAGCTTCATCACTGAATATGATTGATTCCTGAAAAATTTGAATCTCATTACATGTCATTAGTTTCTTTTTAATTTTTGTGATAAAAACACAAATGAACTCGACGTAAAAAAAAATCCGGACCCGAAATGGGAAGACATCAACAGTTTACCCACCGAAATTCTCTTAGTAACGTATTTCGTCGATGGAAGAGTCATTCTAAATCGATTCTTTTATCAAAGGCGCAAAAATGGCGTATTGTTTGATGTAACAGCATAGAAAAGCGCGGAAAAAAACCAAAAGCTCTTTGAGATGTTTCAAAACATTTAAGTTTAAATGGAATCTCACAGGCATGTTTCTGCACGTGACACGAATTTTAAAATGCATCTTTCAACTTCATTCATGGAGGGAAACACTTCGCGAGGCGGCTTTCCTAAGATGTGCATGTTTACTGTACAAAACGCGTTCGATAAACGTGCCGATAAACGGAATATGTTGATTCTATCAGTAAAACGTCACAATCTTTACCTTAGAGAGATGCATCATTCTTTAGTGACCTTATATAGTCAGGTGAACCGGGGAGAAAAACGTTAATCCCCAGCGGTATAAAAACAATGGAAAATTAAGACAAACAATGTTAATATTCAAACATACTTGTTCCACATTTTGGTAAGTTTTGTCTATACTTTGTTTTTTATATATTTTTCTTTTTTATTCTTCCAGTTATAAGTTTAGCAAAGAGAAATGCAAACTGCACGAACATTTATTGACGAGGTACCGCATGCTCCAATTTATAACAGAAGAAAAATACAGAATTAAAAAGATGTAAATATTACTTGAACCAGACCATTTCCGTCTAAGGTGTTTGACGAATGTAAAATAAGTCACGAACAAAGCCATGAACCTACGCGCTAAATTTAGCCTTAGATTGACGTCAGGGATTCATCATAATGTTGTTCATTGGACAGGTTTAAATTGAGCTCCTAAAAAATACAGTTCAATTAAGCGCTCCTCTTCTGGCAAACGGAGAAACAGCATTGCCCTCTTTAAGTTAAAATAGAGAGAGGATGGTTCTTCGCTTCAGTTCGCTCGGGTAAGCCGATTTTTTTTTTTTTTATGTCGAAATAGCTCCTTATTCGTATAGTTTTTTTAAGTAACATGATGAGCCACTAGAGAAATTGAAACCAACCGAAGCTTTGCAAAGAGAAAATATCCCTGTGTTCAGAATTTGATTTACATTAGAATAAGTTAATTGTACTCGCAATGCGATTGCTATATTGTTTCGTTTACCTCAAAAAAAGAAAAACTCCGATGATATTTTCTGTAAATTTTGCAGAGATTTGAGAGCTTAGATTGAAAACTGACATTCAAGTCTAAAGTAGCATTCAGGTCTAAAGTAGCGAGCTTCAAGGAAAATTAAAACCCGCTCGCGCTTTTAATTAATGAACACTGAAAGACACGAGTCAAAATAAGAAAGGCACTTGGATGTATTCGTAAATAGCAAAAGTTTGCTGTAACTCCCGAAAAATCTAAGAATAAAGATCGTTATTCGTAAATACGAAGATCGAGTCTCGTTTATTAAAATGTTGATTGCCACCTCGTTTCAGCGAAAATTAGATTTCTTTTCTTCATCTCGTTGAACGTTTCCATTCAATTGTTTACCAAATTGGTGTTTCTCATTTTATTTTTCCTGCAAAAATATTTAATCGACTAGAATTTAACATTATTGAGAATTTTGAAACGCACACAGAAACATTGTCCTTCTAATCTACTAACCGGACAAAACTGTACGTAGCAAAACAAGGTGGATTTAAATGAAATTACCTACTTTTATGAAAATGGACTTTTAAAATAGTAAAACGTCTAAATATCTAGTCTACCGGTCTGTGTTCCTACGCGTCTTTTTGAAGAAAATCATTTGTAATTTACATTTCAAGGAAGTAACTTTGTTGTTAAAAAAAACGTTGTACGACTAAAATATCGACAGCAATGCATTTTAATTAACAAGGAATTAAAGTCATTCGTCGGGAAAAGTTTAAAAAAGGGCATTTAAACGTGCTCAATAATATTAACCAAAATGAAAAACAAAGCTTACGCGGTGTTTGTGACATCGCAAGTCATTCACTTTTACGAGAAAATTTTTTTTGATGAGAAACGCATCGATTTACAAGGTGTCGCTTTCATTTGCCACTGTGACGCAACTATGATGTCATTCGAGGTGATGTTAGTCATTGTATTTTCGCTAAAGGCAACCCGATCTTGTATTTAACACTTTTTATCGATATAATCAATAATGCCTTAGTTTACGGTTGATATTTAGACAAAACGTGAGTAGTTGCCGACGGTGTGTTTAGCGATTAGGATGAAAGGTTTTTTCCGCAGGACTGTTTAAATGACATGACAGGTTTATGCTTCATTACAATATTCTGTGATATTTATCAACAATTTCCCGCAATTCAAACCATTTCACCTGAAAGTTTTGGCTCTGTTTCAGCGCCTTTTATTTGCTCTTAAGACTAACGAAGCGAGGTGCCATTCTGTGATCGTAAAATGATCTGATTCTAAGTTCGAGCAGCAAGTATGTTTTATGTTTCTCTTAAAGCTCGAATTTTTCCCCCCGAAGAAAACACTAAAAACCAGAACACTATCGCTTCTACCATCTTACAAATTTTACGGAAGGTTTTACTTATAACAAACATTTGCGTTGAAGCTAGCGCCGAAATTAGCTTTCCGACCTCGCGATCGTTAGCAAGCACATGTCAGAGGAAAAACTAATTTTTGATTTCGAGACGTTTCTAGAAGAGTCTCGTTTTATTCTTAGTGTTGAAGTGCACGTTCACTTATCGTTCTAACCTCACTTTCTTGAGATAATTCAACAAATGTATACGCCTTGAAGATATATTTCAAACTGATCAAATAACGCAGGGAAAAAAGGTAATCGATTAACGAGAAAAAAAAAAACATCAATGTTCACGTAAATTAAGGGCAGAACGCTCAGAGCTGCGCGTTATTTCTTTCATTTGCGAGAGATTAACAGTACAAAATTTCTTTTTGTGTTCCAGTAATGATTTTATCGTTCCGTTCACAGCCCAGAAACAGATCAAATATTTTTTTTTTCGGCTTATGCACAGACGCGCATGGAAAATCTGATTTCGACCACATTACAACAATTTTGTCGCTTATCTTAGGCGAGCTGATAAGACTTGAATTTTCATTCATATCGTAGTAAAATCCTGAGATGGAAAATTGTGCAGATCTAGATCTTTCCGTCATCTTGACATTGCGAAACTCTGTGTTTTACGAACCTGCGTCAGTGTATGACATAACGAAACTGTACCCTGAACACCCATTAGTTTGTACTTAATCAACATCGGCGGAAGGGAAATCTCGTAAGAATGAGCCTTTCTAACAATTCGTAAGCATCCACAGATTTCTTTTATTTTCTGAATGTTCAATTGTTACGCCATTCTAGGCTGCTTAGTCGCATTACATTAAATTGCAATACTGATCCAATCATATCTGTAATTATATTATTTATTTTAACAGAAGAAAGGGAAAGTCATCCAACGGCCACTTAAAGAAATTTACAATTTAGAGTGGAAAGAGATTTAGGATTTCGTAGCTTTTACTTAGCTCTGTGATTGGTCCAGAAAAACGTGCCTAGCCTTCCCGACCAATCAGACGTAAATCTAAAACTAATCGTGACTTGTTCACTCGCGCGTTTTCCCGCGCTTACGGCGATTCGCTTTTGTTTTTGTTTCAGCGTGTAATCTGTTTCTTACGACATTTCCTTTTTTGAAAATCCATCAATCTTTGGCTTTGGCTCTCTGTATTACTTTTTTAAGTCTTTAAAAATTTATTTTTCCTGCATTTTATATATTGAAAGATTTCCAAGCTGGTCGTTTGAAGACTGGGCCCAATTTGAACTTGATACTTTGGAGGACATTTTCAAGAGATCAGATTGGCAAGAAAGAGCCCTGAAACCGGCTCTATCTTCCCTTCTCGCCCCAGCTCTCTGCGCTGTTTATGGTAAGCATTTGACGGGGAGTTAAAGAGGGAGTAGAGTCTAAGAACCAGTTGATTAAATTGATTCCTAAGTACCATCTGCATCAACAAGCTCGTCAGTTAAAATGACCCGGTACTTTTAAGCAAAAAGACATAGATTAATATCGGTGATACATTCCACAATCGGTTTTTTTATGTTGACCTGCACAAAAATAAAATCACTTATGAGACATCTTTTTATTCGTTCTTTCAGCGACATATGAGGATGACAAAATCTCGAATCTCGATGACGACCGAGTTGTTTGGGGTCGGCAATACACGCTTAAGGTGAGTGGAGTCAGTTCTCGTAAAATGTCAAATTATCACGTGACCAAAAGAAACAGGGACTCCCGGAACAAAAATCCATCGATTATCTATCAATTTGTCCCTGGAATGGATCGTGTGAAGATCGACAAGACCTTACTCTACTATACAATGACTTAATAATTTGGATATATCAACAAAGTTGAAATGGTAAATTGGCCACCGTAACGATTACAAAACTGACGTTTCGAGCGTTAGCCCTTCGTCGGAGCGAATAGAGGAATTGTGGGTTGTGTGTGCTTTTAAAGGCAGAAAATGGAGCTACGTTATTGGTGGGAACATGGCAACGAGAAAAACAAGAATAAATTAGTGGAATGAAAAGCGTTCGTTGATCCCTGTGGGATTTAGACTGCCGGTTTGAAAGATGAGCTTTTGTTCAAGATTTTTACGGCTTTCCGTGCTACCTAAGTGTAAGGAAAGACCGCAGATTGCCATATGTTGCTTAGAATGATTAGGTAAATTAAAATGTCTAGCGACTGGTTTCGATGTGTCCTTGTCATTCCTTTCCACGTCTCGAAGGTGTTCTCGGAATCGGTCACCTAGTCTTCTGCCTGTTTCGCCGATGTATATCTTTTTGCAATAAGTGCAAGTTATGCAATAGATTACATTGGCGGAGGTGCACGTGAAGTGATCGGTGATCTTAATGGATCGTTTAGGTCCCGATATTTTATCAGTGTTGTGAATGAAAGGACACGTTTTGCATCGTGCACGAGCGCATTTAAAAGTGCCTGGTTGGTCATTAGTCTGAAAAGAACTTCTGACCAAAAAATTGCCTATGTTTTTGT